CCAATGTCAGTAGTGAATTATTGTACAGACTTTGCCAGCAGAAGGGTATTTGCGCATATATTGTTGTGGTAAATTAAATTAGACCTGTAAATAATTTTGAAATGTATGTGTTAGATAATGCATAAATAATAATAAATAATAATATCCTTGGATTTGATATAGTGCTTTATCACATCTTCGAGACGTCTCAAAGCGCTTAAAATATACTGTAAAAGCACAATTTTTAAAAAATGTCTTACAGTAATTTAAAGATAGAAAATGCTGAAATGCAAAGCAAGTTGATCAGCAGGTGAAAGGGAAAGGTACCTTAATATTTAGCTTTCACTCTTCATCAGATCTTAATTGCTCTTCGATCACGCACATTTGCAATTCCCAAGGTTGTTGTCATAAAAAAACACTGTCCACAGCATTTAACAATTATTTTGTTGAATATATTGTAAACTGTACTGAAACATTTTTCCTTTCAGGTACAAGAGCAAAAAAATTTTTTTTTAATATGTTTATGTGAGAACCCAATATGACTTCTTATAACAAAAAAATTGTTTATTTTCATGATAATATTCTGTGATCGAAAATGAATCTAAATATTCGATGTACATGGGAATTTTCTGGAAATATTCTCTTAGTTAGATTACGAGATGTAACAAGAAGGATTATTCATCTTGTGCTTCTGAATTACAATGATCAAAATAGACAAAATAGTAATTAATATTAAAATGAGGGTTTTAAAGCTTAGCAGAACCTGACGACCAGATAAACTGCAGCACTAATTTCTGAGTAACTGTTTAACCTTTCATTATTCTATACTTACATTTTGTATTTTACTCTCCCTAAATCCAATCTAATGCAAGATTTTTTTAAAAAATCGATGTTTATGTGCCCAGTAATCAGTGAGCAATTATGTTACAATTTGTTTTTCAACTTCCAAAATGCGTTAGCTTGTAGTGCAAGCAATGCTAGTGAAGATCAGACACTGCCTTAGTGTTTGTATCAATTAGGGAAACTTCTTCATTGTAAACAGTTAACTTTTCAGTTATATAATCCTTGCATTTGATATAGCGTCTTATCACGTCTTCAAGGCAACAATAAAGAGGAACGAGAATCAGAGGGGCCTCTTTGCTGCCTTTGCTGCAAATAACCTTGAAAATGTAGATACAAATAGTATTTAGAACAACTTGCTGTGCTTTATAGAGTTCTAATACTGAACCTTGAGAAAAATAAAAGTGGGGGGAAATTGAAGTGTTCAAAGCCAAAGGAAATTTAAGCAACTGAAAAGGAAACTGGAGTCGAATGCTTTATCCAATTGGTGGAAAGAATTAGAGAACCCATAATTAATACAATAAATATGTTCTAAAATGTTTAAAGCAAGTCCAATATTGTTACTAATACACCTGTTTCTCATAAAATCTGATTATTAAGCAATAAATAAATTAAGAGATAATGAAATTATAGTTCCAAATATTAATGTTGGATTGTTATCTTTATATCATTTACAACTTGACAAGGGATTAGCTTGTTGGGCTATCACTGTGATGAGAGATCATTTTCATGAACAAAATTGATAAAGTACATGACAAATTAATCTTCAATAATTTGTTATATCAACGAGATAAGTCAATTTACAGTTTGTCAGGATTCGGGGCTTCACAACTATCATTTCTGGGAAGTGTTAGTAAAGTCTGACAGACTGATAGGCTTTCTCTTTTCCTGAAGCAAACTGCTGATGAAGTGTTTTCTGCTGCACATTGAAGTCAATATTTAACATCTTCTTTTATTTGAGGAAGATTTTAAATGAATGTCAGACTGATTAAAGAATGAATACGAGGTTTCATAGACCAAGGATTCTTTTAAGTATGACAGAAAACTGACTTCAAAGTTTAGACTGAATTCAACAATTTGTCAAATTTTGCATTATCTGAAATAATAAGAGTAAATCCAGACTGAGGTGAAATTTTCACGCACGGTTTGGGGGAGGGGGGCAGTTCAGAAGAGACACCAAATATTTTACAGAGAAAGTAACAGATGATATGAAATGAGATGGGATAGAACTTGCCAAGAGAAAAGCTAAAAGATTGTGGGTTATCAGTTGACTCATCACAACATCAAAACCGTAAGGCAGCAATAACTAATGCAAACATCTGTGTATTTGTAAGGAGTCCTGTAGCTTAGTGGCAAGAGCACTCGCCTCCAAGCGAGAGAACTGGGTTCGATTCCTGACAGGGCAAAACCTTGGGCAAGTTTCCTTACTCCACTCGCCTAATAATAATCCTTCAAGAAAAAAAGCAATAATAAGTTGGCTGTTTGTGGGACACTGTGCTGCGTGCAATTGAATGCCCACAAATGTACAGTCAATTCACTTTACAGTTTATTCTGTGAAGCGCTTTGAGACGTCTAGAAGACGTGAAAAGCATTGTATCAAATGCAAGGATTATTATTTTTATTATTAAATATGGCAACTAATTTGTGCACCACAAAGTCCCACAAAAAGCTATTGAGTGAATGACCAATTTTGCCTGAAGGAATTTTCACTCAGACCCCAGGAGAAACTCCCTTCACTTTTTTTTGAACAGTGCCATGAGATCTTTGATGTCCACTTGAACAAGCCAGCAGGACCTCAGTTTAATCCAAGGGACCACCAAAATCCCAATGTGGATCTTGAACCCACAGATGGCAGTGAGGAAGCTATGTATTGAGAACAAAATGCAATGCAAATATTCCCAATACAGCAGAACGCGAGGACAAGATTCAGGGTTATAAGGACAGAAACCAGGAAGTATTTCTTTATCCAGAGGTTAATTCATGACTGTAACTGGTTACCAAAATAGGTTGTTGTGCTCATTTAATAAGAAATACATTAGGGATTGTGTCTGGGAAGGAATAAAATACAGTAAGGCAGCATACATGTGATGTATTGTTCAGCTTTGAGTGACTGGTAAAATACAGTGGGAAGAAGACTGCATGAAACTAAGGCCACAGTATATGAGTGAGCATTGGATCTCTTTGTCAGATATATTAGAAAGGATGACATTGTGGTTTCAGTTGTAGAAACGTAGACAGAGACTGTTTGATCCAACATGTTTTCGCCTCCTTCTTAGTAAATTTTATTGTTAATCCCACGTTCTGGCTCTTTCTTCATAACCCCTTCTTGCTTTTTAGCTCAGATGCTTATTTAATTATCTTCTTTTTGTAATAATCATTATCATATTTGCACTTAATATAGGACTTTATATCCAATCACACCAGAAGACTATTCTCTTCGACCAAGCCTTCGATCACGCCCCCTCTCATTCCAGTTTGGCATCAAATTACACGGAGGTGAAGTGCTTCGAGATGCTACCCGCGTGAAGAGCGTACGTTATAAATTTTGTTCATTTACATCAAGATTAGTTACATAGCTATTGAGAAGCAAATGAAAAAAGTAACCCCCACTTTTCCCCGCCTTCCCTCCTCCCCCCGGAAATATTGCTCTCAGACTCTTCCCCTGTTCCCCCGAAGAAGAACAATCCATTTGATTACATATGGATTAATAACTATTATTATTACTAATCCTAATAATAATAATTATTATTATATGTCTGGAACAACTCACCTAGCAGCATACACCACATAGGTGTATGCGCGCAGGTGACAGGTGTGTACGAGGGTGCTCTGATAATAATAATAATAATAATAATCCTTGCATTTGATATAGCGCTTTTCACGTCGGGAGGACGTCCCAAAGCGCTTCACAGAACACACTGTAAAGTGAATTGACTGTATATTTGTGGGCGAACGCAAATATTTGTATATTTGTATATTTGTGGGAGGGTCCCCCCTCCCCTCCCGCCCATTGCGTTTCCAATGTCAGCGCCCCTCCCGACGTGAAAGGCGTTTCTCCCACAAAATATACAGTCACTTCACTTTATGGTATATTCTGTGAACCGATTTGAGAGGTCTCGAAGGCGCAATAAGGCGCTACATCAAATTATTATTATCAATTGCTATGTCATTATTGTTATTTACTGTATCAATTATTATCATTTTGCTATATCAATTATTATTATTAATTGCTATGTCAATATTATTATTAAATGCTATATCCATTATTATTTACTACATAAATTATTATTGATTACTATATGAATTATTATTGATTTTTATATCAATTATTATTCATCACTATATGAATTAGTATTGATTACTATATGAATTATTGAATACTATATCAATTATTAATTACGATATCAATTATTAATTGCTATATCAATTATTATCAATTACTGTATCAATTATTATTGATTATGATATCCATAATAATAATAATCTTTGCATTTGACATAGCGCTCTTCACGTCTTCTCGTCGTCTCAAAGCGCTTCACAGAATAGACTGTAAAGTGAACTGACCTTAGATTTGTGGGCGAAACAGATAATAACATCAATGATCACAGTCATCAATAGTAATTCAATTGATAACCACTGACATTATTATCAATTGAATTATGATCGATTAGTACCTCAATTAGTATTAGTATTATCAGCAGCAAATACCACGCGCATTAGTATCGGTCACTGGAGTTGAACTATTATCAGTTGAATTATTATCGATCACGACACGAATTACTACCCATCGGGAGCGCTGTTGGTGACTGCGTCAACCGGCAAACGTTGCTCTGCGTTGAAGGCCGCATTTGGTCACGTGGCGGCGGCTCACGCGGGGACAGGTGGACGTTTTTGAACAGCGGCGACCGTTGAGAGCGCGAGGGCGGTGGGAGGAGGGGGTGTGGAGAGGTGGGAGGGGAGGGAGGGAGGGAGGAGGAGGAGGAGGAGAGACATGGCGGAGGCAGCGGCCGGGGCCGCGCTGACGATGCGTCTTTCAATGAATTCCCGTTCTTTCAATGTCGTTCTCCTCGCAGCGAGTCACGTTGGGTGAAAAAAAAAGAGCGAGAGAGAAGAGAGAGAGAGAGAGAGCGAGTGAGAAAGAAAGGGAAAAAAAGAGAGAGCGAGAGAGGCTTTTTAATTTGTTTTAATTGGGGGCAAAGGAGAGAGAGAGAGAGAGAGGGAGGTAGTAGTTGGTAGTGTTGAGGTGCGGGTAGAGTAAGGCCTCAGAGCCGTTAGCGCAGTGACTGAGCCTTTCAGCACCTCCTCGAGTGGTCAGTAACACACACACACACACACGCACAGCGCACCTCACACATCATCCATCTCACATCACATCGGTTTATTATCATTTCTACAGTCGTATAATTCAGTGTATAAAGCGCGTGTGTGGTGTGTGTTTTTCTGTCTCAACGCAAAAAAAACCCGCACTGGAGAGAGACAGAGCTGCCGTGTTATTGCCTGAATTCAATCAAAATTCAATCAAAATATGTGGGGTCTGAATTTGGATTTGATTCCCCCCCTCCGCCACCCCTTCCTTTTTTTTTTGCTCCCTCCCTCTTCATCGTTTTTATCGATCTTTTAAAAAAAAATCTTATTATTTGTTGTAATAGCACATGCATTACGTGTTCCATGACTAAATGTGTCACGAATGGCTCTTATTTGTTTCGCAAATCCGTTTATTGCGAACAACGTTACTGTTTGTTTGACAAATGTATTTATTTGATAAATCAACCCCTCCCCATCCTGTAAAAACGCACACATTCACCCATGTCTCCCACGAGTACAGTAATTCTGGTGGTGGGACAGCCCATCGTCTTTCCAGTTGCAATTTCTCGCAACCGATGGTGTGCAGCGGTTGTTTTGAGCAATGGGATTTTTTTAATTTGCAAAACAAAAAAAGCACTTATTTAAACGAAACCGCGAATGCAACCCGACCAGTGTTTTGTTCTCGCTCCCATTTATTTTGTATCTTTTCGAAGGGTTCAGTGCAGCACAAGCTCTCTGACCCCTATTGCGAAAATTGTGAAATGGACCTGTTTATTGTTGTGAAATGGATCTGTTTATATAACACGCCCCTGATGCTTTCCTTTCAGGAGCTTGTCAACGTTTTCATTGTCTGTGCCTTGTCCTAACATCAAAGGCGATATCTGTGATCAACTTTTTAAAATGCGTAACACGCCGCAAAGACACCTATGCATTTTTTTTTCCCGTGGAAGCGTGTGAAAAGGAAGCATGAAATTTGGCAAGGATATGTTGTCTTTAAACACTTCGTTGTAAAGTATAACTCTATGGTAAATTGATGTGGCTTATACAGCTAAAATCAGCTGGTGACTTTCAAAGCCAAGATGACGTTGGCATCATTTTTGTGTGCTGACCTTCAAAATATCAACAGTGATTTGCCCCCTATGATTAAACGTCTCTGACCCCCTGCTATACACTATAGAATATTTTTTGATTGATGGATGCACTGATGTGCGTAAGGAAATGTAAAGTAACAAAGGAGTCCAAGTTTTTCCCAAATGACATAGAATGGATAAAACCTACCCCTTTTTGTATATTAATGAGCTGCAGAATCTTTTACCGCTGATTCTGAAGTTGGAATCAATGATTCTATTTTTCTTGATATCTTGTGTTTTTAAATGGTGTTCTCAGTGCTCAGCTTGTTGCCAGTAAAGGTGACATAGAAGCGCAGGAGCATCAAATGTTTTGAACCACATGTGGAGCTGGATACAACGTGATTTCATGGCAGATTCATAACGTATTATTGTATCTGGCTGTCTATACTGCCCACCAAACTTGCTCTAATGATGGTCTGTTTCACTGCAGCATAACCTTTTTAAAAAATGGAAATGAGACCTTTACATCCCTTCTTATTTGTGGGAGATGTAACCCTTCTGCCTTGCTCCTCTTGCCCCCTCCATGAGATCTCTTTCAGGCTCAGTACACAAAAAGCATCACTGATTTAAGGGCTTAGGAAACAAAACAATCTATGAAAATAATTCCACGATATGTATCTACAAGCATTTATATATTGTAAGAGTTATAAATATTTGGAGTGGGGGAAAAAAACATTTTGCGGAATAATCAGGAATTGCAATTTATAATTTCATAGTTGTTTGCTGTTGATTTGATTGATGTTTTGAAGGGATTGCATTGTGGAAAAGGCAGCCATGAATCACTTGAGGGCATTTGCAACAAAAGTCAAACCACAAACCATCAAGAAATTAACTCAACATGATGCAACAGTGAGGATATTGTTAAAGAGCAGGAGATACTGTGCATCTTACATCAATCACAGTAATTCAAATTATGTTGAGGAAATGTACATTGCATGGCTTGAAAATCCCAAAAATGTTCATAAGGTAAGAATTGCTTGTTAATTGCTAGTTAGTTTTTCTTTGTTTACTGCCAGCAAAATATTTTGGTTTGTCTTGTCTTTATTTGATTGAGAAGCAATTGATCTCACTGAAGCAGAAATATGCTACATGTGAGTTAAATGTTAAATTGCAGAAATGAAACCATATTCATGTTTGGATGTTAAATGTATTGGAATCCAAATTGAAAGAAAATTATTTTAGTTAATTTGCCCTTTTTTGCTGAATTTACAATAATCTGGCATGTAACCAAGCATTAATCTATTCATGTAACCTTTATGCTGCAGAATGTCATTTTTAAATAAATACTAATTGATTGTTCTATATTATTATAACAGGGATAGTTGAAGCTGGTGATCTGTGCAGTCTAAGTGGTGCATTAAAGTAAACATGTGACCTAACTAGAGGTCATAGATAAACTCAATGGGTTGCAAAAGAAGAATAAAACAAATTCAAGTATTATTTAAACATCCCTTAGATTAGGGGAACTTTACATCATTCAACGGCTCTCTTCTATTTGCTCCATTTAGAGAAGATTAATTTGTTGTAATACAGTATAATCTTCTTTTTCTACAGTCATGGGATGTCTTTTTCCAACATTCCAATGGTGCATCTCCAACCTCGTCATACTTTAGCCCTACTTCATTGGATAACATCCAAACTCTGGCTCAAAGTTCAGGCCAAGTGCATGTTACTGCGAAAACTGAAAAATTAATAGCAGATCATCTAGCTGTGCAAACAATGATAGAGCTTACCAGGTGAACTTGTACTTTTTTTTTCTCTCCACTGCTTATATATGTCCAACAAGTAGGTTGGTGTGCTGCAAACTCCTTTGTAATTTGCAAATGGATGAGCCTCAGAGATTCAACGAACTGGGAACAAAATCAATGGGCTGCTGAGGGTAGCTGTTTATACACAGGACTACAGTTTGTGTGCCAGTGATTAGATACAGTTTTAGTTGCAAAGCGATGAGCGTGCTGAACATTGCCACTATTTCGCATTTGATAACTACATTTCAAAGAATATTACCATGATATATACCAGATAAATTCTTCATGAGTATCAATTTACTGAAAAACAAAGCTTCATATTGGGTTTTAACAGGTGTTCCCTTAATTTTGTGACTAATAACCAATGTAAAAGATTATAGAATCATTGGTGGGTTCAAATTAGAACCTGACAGTGATTACAGCGACTTCCCTGGTGCGCTAGTGTGAACTTTATCANTTTTTTTCACAATATCTTCGTGACCTATTGTAGTGAGACTGCTGATTTATGTTGGATTTTGGAGAATCTTTGTACTGTTAATTTGCAATTTGAACTGCTGTGTGCAAATTGGCTGCAGTGTTTACCCACAAGATACACTGCACTTTGCAGAATACCCTCTAAAACGCTTTGGGATGCCCTCCCGATGTCCCCAATCATGCATCTATTTATAATTTGATTTCATATTAATTTAGATAATATGTTCTAGTGAATGATTAGTATATCAATAGGAATGCGTATTATTTCCATGTCACAGAATCATTGTCATACATCTTTGTCGATTTTAAATTGCCGTTGTGGGATAACTTCCTAGTACTAAAAGTTCCTTTTCCTCCCTGTCCCATTTGCTTTTAGATACGTGGACATCATGTGGCACAGCTGGATCCATTGGGTATCATGGATACAGACTTCGACTCGTTTATTCCACTTGATTTAATCACTGCAATTGATAAACTTGGTAAGAAATTTGTGTTTTTGATTCTTTTGATGTCTTCCTTATTACTATCTGCATAGAAGTAAGAGTGTAAAATGTGCTGTTTGCAAATTGGCTGCTGCGTTCATCTACAAAAATACAGTCACTACACTTTTCTGTAAATTCTGTGAAGAGCCTTACAACATGAAATAATAATAAATCTTGCTCAAGGGGCTTCACAGAATTGACTGTGGGCAGGGCGCAGCAGCCAATTGCCTCACAGCAGAGTCACACAAGCAATTGTGGATTGAGGGATTAAATTTGTTTTTGAAAGACTACAACAACAAATCACATTTGTATAGCGCTTTCATGTCGGGAGGATGTCCCAAGACATTGGACAGTCAGTGTTTCGGACTTGAGCTGGGGGTAAGGATTGGGGAGGATGGAGGGTAGAGGGTTAGGAGGGTAACTGAAGACAGTCTAAGAAGAGGGTCTTGACTATATCAAATGCAAGGCTTATTATTTATTGTAATTAAAAAATTCATAGAGCATGTTTCCAATATTTCTTCTATTAACTATACACAATCATGAAACTTGTATTTCAGAAGATTTGATATCTGAAATTTCAAGTGATTGAATCCTCATATATTGTAACAAAATAATACAGTAAAACTAACAAAAGTCGTATCAGTCGGGACCATAACATTTAATTGACTTATGTTAAGTCCAAATTACAGGCAAACTTGTTTAAATCGTATAAAATCTGATTAATCAATAATAATAATAATAATAATCCTTGCATTTGATATAGTGCTTTTCACGTCGGGAGGACGTCCCAAAGCGCTTCGCAGAACACACTGTAAAGTGAATTGACTGTATATTTGTGGGCGAACGCGGCAGCCAATTGCGCACAGTCGTAGATTGAAAATGACCAATTTATTATTGTTTTTGGTTTTGGAGGGATTATTATTAGGCGTGTGGAGTAAGTAAACTTGCCCAAGGTTTCGCCCTCCCTGGAATTGAACTCAGGTCTCTCGCTTGCAAAGCGAGTGCTCTAACCACTGAGCTACAGGACTCCACAAAATCCAAAAATCTGAACCGTGCATACGTAATTCAATGCAGTCAGTAAGTGAGCATGCGGTACTTTGTCATTGCAACCAGTAAGAACGCATGTGGCTGCATTGAATTGCGAGAAATGTTGGAAATGTAATTTTGACCCTTTGCCGCATGCACTCGTCGACAAGTATTGGAATCGTATTGAATCGCAATTCAATGCAACAAGTAAGTCCAGGAGTAATGGAGAATAGGGGAATGGTTTTACAAGTTAGACAATGATTAATATCACTCGTATGAAGAAATCTAAGTGGTTTTGATAGGAAACTGAATGGGACTCGGGTGCATATACGTCTTAGGCGATTATAAAATTTATAAAGATAAGAGTTATTCCAGCTTTACTGTAATTTGATTGCATAAATCAGTGTCAGTACCACTACTCTTTTAAAACATTTGATCAACTCTTCACCAGTGTTTGTCGTACCACAAAACATTATTTAGAACACTGAATGGTACATCAGATTTTTAAAAATGTATTTCATAATTCAATTTATCTTTCAAGAATTTATTGAACAAATTATGAATGGCTGACAAAATAAAAATTTTATTGGAGTTGTTTCAGAATTTACATCAGAACAGCTAGAGACTGTTTATACTTTTTGGAAGTTGTTAAATTGGAAGTAAATATGGATCTGCAGTAATTAAGGTAGCAAGTATTATTCTCTCCAGGGAAGATTTCAAGTACATCATTGGAATTAGTGAATTTAATTCTATACACTACAAAGCTGTATGAAATAAAAATGCAAATGCACTTTTCACAGATGTCTGAGCATACAGATTTTAAATTGCAATTCTTAGAACTTTGACCCTTCATTCCACAATGAATACTGCCTCTCCTTCCCCCTTGAGCAGTGACTTAGTAATTATTAGAAAGAAAAAAAGTAAAATGAAATTACCAGCTGTTCATTCTGTCACATTAAATGAAAACCTAATAACATTTTCCTGGTAAACTCTTTACAAAGGTTACTTTCTGACTAATCTGACCCATCCAATGATTCTGTTGATCTTGCTCCTAGCATCTAATCACATTGATGAGATGTCTCAAAGCACTTCAGATAATATACTGCTCTGTCCTTGGCCCTCTCCTCTTTAATATCTACATGCTCCCCCTTGGTGACATCATCCGCAGACACGGGTTCAACTTCCATATGTATGCGGATGATACCCAACTCTATCTTTCTGCCTCCACCCTCAACTCCAGGACCACTGCTGTCCTGACAGACTACCTGTCAGACATTCAAAGCCTGGATGAGGGCAAACTTCCTACAGTTGAATGTGAACAAGACTGAGGCCCTCTTGATTGACTCGCGCCAGCGCCTCTGCACCTCAGGCTCTGGCAGCATCAACCTCCATGATTGCGCACTTCAACTCACCAAGCCAGTCAGGAACCAAGGTGTCTTGTTCGACCCTCAACTGTCTTTTCTTCCCCCCCATTCAAGCCATGACCCACTCTGCCTTCCTCACCTCCATAACATCATCCAATTCCGCCTCTCCCTCACCCCTCAGGCCGCTGAAACTCTTATTCATGCCTTCATCATCTCCAGGCTCGACTATGCAAACGCCCTGCTTGTCGACCTTCCCAACTCCTCCCTCCACAGGCTGCAGATAATCCAGAACTCTCCCGCACCAAACTCCGTGACCCCATCTCCCCCACTCTCGCCCGACTCCATTGGCTCCCTATCCTTCAGAGGATCCTGTTCAAAATCTGAAATGCTGTACACTGTCCAGCGCCTGGGAACGTCCTCCCGACGTGAAAGGCGCTATACAAATGTAATCTTGTTGTTGTTGTAAAGTGAGTTGAATGTATATTTTGTGGGCGAAACGCGGCAGCCAATTGTGCACAGCAGTGTCCCACAAACAGTTGTGGATTGAGTGAACCAATATTTGGGGGGAGGGATTATTATCCTTGGAAAAGCGATCCGCCAATCGACTAAAAAACGAGTTCCTGCCTACTGTGACGTAAACAGACGTGTGGAGTAAGGAAACTTGCCTACCGTTTCACCCTGCCCAGGAATCAAACCCAGGTCCAATTGGTTAGTGCACTTGCAAGGCAAGTGTGCTAACAAGTATGCTACAGGACTCCACAATATTGCTGTTGAAAGAACACTGTTTAACCACATAGCTTGCCATCGATAGCACTGCCTGGTAAACTTTCCAACTGCTTGTCCTGCTAGGACCGCCCATTAGGGCTTTGACTTGCAGGGTTAACAGGAGCTGAGTCCCTGCCCCTAATGACTGGTCTGCCCTTACAAGTCCTGTTGATGAGCCAGACTGCTGTGCTGTCATCAGCAATGCTCTGCAATACTGGAGACCTTTGATGGATCAGGGTGGATCATCCCTGATGAATTTAATTGAATTCTTTAACAGAACCACTTAAGTGATAAAGGATTCCTATAATTTATATAATTTTTCACATGATATTTAATAAGGTGCCACAAAAGGGATTACTATCTAAAATGAAGGTCGATGGAATTGGAGGAAATCCACAATGGTATGGATAGGAAATTGGTTAGGAACCATGAGGCTAAGAAATGGGATAAAAGGTGCATTCACTGATTGGTGGGCAGTGAAAGTAGCATCCCCCAAGGAGTGGAGGACACAGCTTTTCAGGGCATTTCAGTCACAATTCACCAGATTAATACCTGGACTGAAGGGATTGCGCTGTGATTAGAGGCTGTGCAATTATAGTCCTGGCAAAGGCTAACAATAAAAAATGAAGAATAAAGATTTTTGAAGAGTGGTTCTACCACAGTGTTGATAGAGCAGTATAAAATGTAAAAATATATCATGATTGTCGGGACTTGAGCTGAATCCTCGCAGGATTGAGTTGCTTGTTATCTGAAGATGTTAGGGAGGCTATGTTGGTCGTTCCAGTTGCTGAATTCGATTTTAATTGCTTTAAATCCTCTGGGACTAAAGCATGCTATGCTCAATTATTATTTTATATTTGACAATTATTAAGTTTATTACAGTAATATTATGTTCTTAGAGGGATATAATACATTATTTCTTGAAAACTAGTCTAAATAGAAGAACCATAAGTGAGTTGAAGAAATGGGCTTTATATCTGTCTTATAAATTGGATCAGAGCAACATTTCAGTGTAGAATGCTGTCTTCAGTGTTGAACACTGGAGTCTTTGGTTAATATCTATTCACAATGCCTACTTATTCTGAAGACACCTTGGATGTCTTTTCAAATTACATTCCCGCCTCTTTTTGCACTGTTATGTTATTAATAGAGTTTGTAGTTTGTATTGCTGTGAAAACAGGTCAATTACCTCTGTGGATAAACTGGTCATTTGAAAATTAGCATTTAAGATTTGTCCTTGGGAATTATCTTTCCATACAATAAAAATATTTAATTTCTATAATGTTTTCTGTTCAAAACTGCTTTGCCATTTATTGCTACAAGATAGAAACAAAGCTGTTCAAATTGAAATATCTGTATATACTTGTTTCTGGTAACATTTCATCTGGTGTTTCCCTGTCTCTGCCTCTATCTTTCTGCCCCAAGGCAAACATTCCACCAATTTATAAGTTGTTACTGTTAACTCATAAACACAATTGGAATTCATTTGTAATTCTTTTAACTAGATACCCCATTGGTTATTTCATTCATGCTGAGGGATTGTTTATTAACCTCCTAACAGGAGGTTAAAGCATGTGATTGACTCTGCCCTCAACAACTAATTCATGTTTAACTTTCCTAGTATACCTCTGATAATTTTGATTGCAGTAATCATTTTCTCTGTGCATCACCCACAAAAATGCAGTCAATTTACTTTACAGCATATTCTGTGAAGCGCTTTGAGACGTCTAGAAGACATGAAAAGCACTATATCAAATTCAAGGATTATTATTATTACTATCATCTTGAACTGATCAGAATTTGAGGCAGTTATTTCTATTCTGTTTATTAAACCTTGCACTTTACAAAAAGTGAAGTTCTGATTACAGTCCATCACTAAGCATGATTTTCAGGAAATATAAATAATTTATTAATAATAAAGTATAAACTTTGAATTTCATGTAGCATCTTTTACATTAGGATGATGTCTCAAAGTGCTTCATTTATATAGCACCCTTCATGTGGGTAGCGTCCCGGAGCGCTCGACAGTGGTGGAGTCTGACCCCGAGCCAGGGGAGAGGGGGTGAGGAAGGTGATGTAAGCACAATTAAAAAGGAAGGACTTTTGGTGGGATTTGAAAATGGAGAGGGAGGAGGCAAGGCAGAGGGATTGAGGCAGAGAGTTACAGAGTTTCAGGCATAGTGTCTGAAGGCCATTTCAGTTAATACTGTACTTAACCGTTTTCCTATTTTCAACTGCTCTTCTATTGTAATGTTAACCACTTTTTATCAATTTGCCTTTATCTTATGGAACCCTCCTGTACTGATCAAAATCCTAACAATGTAGCATTATATGGATTGAAAGAGTGTGATATGGACAAAGTTTTTCGACTGCCTACAACCACCTTTATTGGAGGAAATGAATCTTCCCTCTCATTGCGTGAAATCATAAAGCGAATGGAGGTCAGTATATGATATGGTTATTCAGCTTATGTAATCTATTCAGGAATTTTCCTTTCTTGATGTAATTAGTGAAATTCAGCACAACACGTAATGTAAATACCAATGAGGTTGGTCACACATGGGACAAAATCTGCAGCCTCAACTCAAACCCTGAGAGTTCTCTATTGCAATAAATTATTTTGGATTTTGTTTCTCTCTCTGCTCTTCTTTTGATGCTGCCGGACGTTAAAATACTCTTTGTACCTTTGGATTTTGAAGTTCGGTGTGAGCTAAACTCTGTTTGGATGTACACAGCAGATAATGTGATAATGTCAATTAACCTCAAAGCCCCGAAAAATTTAATGTGGGGCAGAATATGAATTTCTTTCATTATTTACCCCTCCCTCACCCTCACACATGGGAAATAGTTTTCTGATCCTTTATTTATTGGAAAATATTTATAAATAGTACTGTTTATGTGTGTGAAAATAACCCACAACATGATGAATTTTAATATGATCAAGTACTGTACCAGAACACCTTTGAAGTTACAAGTGTCTAGTGCTTTGGGACTGACTTACGATTGAGCTGTGGTACCTCAGATGTATTTTTGCTTTGGGCACTTTTATGCTAATTTCCTGACAACTGGGACTTCCTTTTATTTGTTTAATAGTTTATAGAGTGGAATTATACAAGCTGCACTTCATTATCTCAAATAAAATTAGTTTTCCGAGTGGCTGAGAGATATTGTTTCAGCAGCGTTTGTAATTCTTCCATTGACCTATTTGCATTTGTTGTGAATGCTTAACTTACTTTCTGTGGTATCAGTCTCAATCTGTTGGTGGAAATGTTTTTGTCTTTCATCTGGTCCTTTCTATTGAGGGAGAGCCTCACAAGTGATTGAACTCTCAATCTTGTCAGTGTGTCAACGATAAGGCTTATTGTCCCAAGTGGAAGTATCATGTTCTTTTTAGAATCAACCAAATTAACCAGTTTATGCTGTTGGCCTGGATTTTGAAAAGTCGACTCCCAAGTGCATTGATTGTATCATAATTTATTAAAAAAAAGAGCAACTTATTAGCAGAAAATACTTAGAATGTGTTTTCAGTCTTATTTTTGGCACATTCTATCTATTCAGCAGTCATTTTCTACTGTGAGTCATAAAATGCCATATTTGATTAAAATGCGATTTCAGATACATTCCAAATTTTGCATGGTAGATCAGTTTCTGCTGAGTTGTCCTCTGAAATGATTGCAAGGAAACACTGCAATAAAATAGCTTTGTCAGATATCTTTTAAGTAAAAAAATAATCATTCCAGGAAGTACACAACAGTAATTATGAAATATGTATAATGATATAAATGTTAATATGCATTAAATTGCTGTACGCCAGGAAACTAAAAAAACCTGCTATTTAATTGCAACAGTTTTTCATCAAAACTACTTCTTTGTTATTAGTAGATTATTGGTTAATTTTAAGATTAAAGGTGGCTACCGTTATGTAAGAGGGTGACAAATATTTCAGGCTGTTGTTAAAGTTTAGTTTAATTTTCATGTTCTTTATTTGAATCAGACCACTTACTGTCAGCATATTGGTCTGGAGTTCATGTTTATAAATGATGTGGAACAATGCCAATGGATCAGGCAAAAGTTTGAAACTCCTGGCATTACAAAAATTACCAACACTGAGAAAAGAAGGCTATTGGCTCGATTGATCCGTTCAGCAAGGTGTGAACTGGTATCTTTTTTAATTCTGTATTTCTATAGTAATTTTTTTTACATGTTCAACGATGCAAGGTGGCAAACAAAAAGTAGCTCATTTTTTACTTAAGAAATTGATTTTAAAAAGGTTGATCTTTTCAGCATCTGACTCCAACATATTGCAATCTGATGTTATTTTGTTTTTGATTTGCCTTAAGATGTTTCTATTTCCCATATTGCTTTTATATTTAGTTTTTGTAACTGTGTATTTGGTTTTGCCTTTGGATAGTTCATTTCTTATTTATTCTTCTCCTGTAAGCTGTCTTTGTTTGCATTTTTCAATTGTGATAAGCAGAATTAAATTGGTATGTTGATCTTAACAGCAGTGTTGCATTCCTAATGGGGCACATGCAAATTAGAAATTGGAAGTTTCTGTACTTGTTTCCTATAGAAACAAAACTGCTGCCCTGCACTAAAACATTAACTCAAAGCTTGAGAGAACCATTTGAAGAAAAGTGGAATGTGCAAATATAGATTTTAATTTCAATCTCATTTGTTAAGAATGGACCTTTTTTTATTCCAAGTAACAGAAGAAGAGTCTTGTCTCAAACACTGGCATGCAAAAGAATACAGACTACGCATGTTGATTATCACAGACATTAATAATTGTTTTCTTGCAAATAATAAGAATATGGAATGAATTCCCCAGAAGGTCAGTGGAAGGATTTTGGAAAGAGATTGATAGATACTTGAGAGTACAAATATTAAAGAATATGCTAAAAAGGCATGGAGGTAGTATTAGGAGAGGATATTGCACATAGGTCATGAAATGAAAGTTGTTGTTGGAATGCTCTGTGATGGGGCAAGCTCGATGGACCAGCTGGGTATACTATTCCTAACTTCCTGTGCCCTTTTGTGTAAGAGAATGCAGATTTAAGTTATGTAACAGGTCTTGTGTATATTCAGTAAATAAATATATTTTTTAAACAGTTGGCCTCGAATCTCAGAAATTTACGGCACAGAAGGTAACTCTGTACATCTTGTCTGTGCTGGCTCTTTTAATTGCAATCTTTTCAGCCCCATTTACCTTTCCTTCCCCATGATTTCCAATAGTTTACTTTTTTAGGTACTTATTTTGTTTCCTGTTGAAAGCTAATATAAACGTTGCTTCAAGCTCTGCTCAAATATCTACACCAAAGGAGGAGGTGAGGGGGAATCGGTCCGGCCAAGTGTAATTGTAATTTCTGGCTAAATGTAATTACAATAATCACTGACATTTACCAGCAAGGACCATGAGGCGAGGGCGCACGCTAGGAGAGTTGATCTGGCAGGAATCAATACTCATGCGGGCCACGGAGGTTTTTTAAAAAAAATCAGTTTCGGGTCTGGTCCAGCTTGGTACAAATTCCGGACACCCAGAGTCCAATAAACTGGGTGTTACTGTATTTATGATTATTGATCTTTCTCCTTCCGTTGCATCATGCAGACAACCTGCCCGTCTTTCCTGTCCTGCAGCTAATTGTTACAGCTTGTGGTGGCTTTAACTGCAATCTGCCACCCCCCCCCCTTCCTTTCCCCAGCAGCAGAACCTCCCGGATTCTGCTCAGCTACAAACACTGGAGTGTCAACCTAGATAATGAGCTCAATGTCCCATCATGGGACATGAACCCACAACCTTCTGATTCAGAGGTGAGAGTGCTACCAAACCTTTCCTTTGCAAGAGAAATCAAGACTGAGAACTGAGGAAAAAAGAGAGCAGTTGACTAGGAGAGCAATTTTGAACTTGTAGAGTTGATACCAACAAAAATGATGTTCCATATTAGTTTGCATATTTTATTTTAGCGCTCATTTGCAATTTCATACCATATTTACCACCTCTCCTGACTATAGGCATGCTATGGTAGGATACAAATAAGCTTACCTGATTTTTCATTGTGAGCGCAGAGAAAAGGCCATTTCTGCATATGAAGAATTACAATAGTCAGTAACACAAATTGCTGTTATACCCGTCCCTGCAATTAATTGTAGGAATAGCATAGGCAGGAAAGTGGGATTCCATCTTGCCTTCTGTATTGGTTAGGCATATGACAACACAATCCAAAGCCCAGCACTTTAATAACATTGAAAAATGGTTCCTGGGTAAACTATAGGTCTTGTCAGGAACTTCAAAGGATCATTGAGTTTACACCACTATATTTACATTGCTATTCCTAAAGAACAACATACAAGTGAGTTTTGTTTTATCTTTAAAGGAGGAAAAAAAGCAAAGGCAAATACATTCAGTATAATGTAGTATAATTTAGTAAAGCAAATGTTGCTGTCCTTAGATTTTCATTTAGGTGATATCTATATTCAAGGTTTGAAGACTTTCTTGCAAGGAAATGGTCTTCTGAGAAACGTTTTGGTGTCGAAGGGTGTGAGATATTAATTCCAGCTTTGAAGACCATCATCGATAAATCCACTTGCAAGGGAATAGAGAACATTATCATGGGAATGCCACACAGGTAAGGAATATGGAATTTACTTTCAATATTTTATAAATGGGTTGAAATAAAAATAAAATGAATACTAACTGCATAGTTCGCGAATACAATAGTCCTGGTAGATTTTGTTATCGTGCCCAGCAAGGATTACCCTTCAGGTTTTCAGTTGCCGGGTTGAATACATATCAACACCTCCAAAGTTTTTTGATGATCAGACAGATTAGGTTAACATCAACAGTGGCTCAGGTAAATGAGTATCTTCTTGGAGCCAGGTGACCCCACGGGTCCAGAAAGCCGGCACACATTACATTAATTTAGGTGTGGTTGGGGGAAAGAGGTCAAAAGCTGTGTTCTCATTTCCAATAAAAAATAAGAAATTACTTCATTTCAATTATACTTTGAGGGCAGAATTTGCTTTTTTGCCTTGGGATGATTACTCCCAGACATTCTTTGATGTTGACAATATTACATGTTGAAGATGGCTAACAGTGATGAAAGAGCATTATCTTTACTTTTTGAAGCTCCTGACTCCAGGATTTAACCTTAATATTGGTGAACATACACTCGGATAACCATCAGAATAGTCCTGACTCTACTAAATTAGGACTTGATTGGAGAACCCATATAATTCATTCCAGACAGAAGAAGCCATGTTTTATCTGAATGCAAAAGCAAAGATCTGTTTGAAAATCATGTTGATTGATTTGCAGAATCTCATTTTCAATTACATTCCATGTGTTCTTCTAACATGAGGTTTCACTGTCTTTGTTTGTAAATTTTGTTCACCCATAAAAACCGATGCAAATATATTTTCTCACACTTTTAATGCTGGGGATCTTTTCCAGGGGACGGTTAAATGTGTTGGCCAATGTGATCAGAAAGGATCTGGAACAGATTTTCTGTCAGTTTGACCCAAAATTGGAATCTGCTGATGAGGTGAGGACTCAGATGTTGTTGATATACATGGAAACCCTATTCTCATGATTTCGGTATAGTGCGGCTTCACTCGTAAGTCTAGTGTCCGGTGGATCCGTGCCAACTGAAAACATGGCACACCCAGCTGATTGAACAGACGAGCCAACTTTCCAAGCTCATTAAAGGCTGACTTTTAGGTCATCACTTGCTATTTATTGACATCAATTGTGAAGCAAATGTTGGCATCAGCACCCAGAATGTGGTCGCTGAAATACTAGATCCAAATAATCGCACAAACAGTTTGATTCTGTGTTTTAATTTTTAAATTGATATAACTATTCTAAAAATGTTTGTTTTCAAAATTATCTTGCTACAGGGTGACCAAAAAGTCATGATACCGTTAAAGTGTCTAACAAGTCTTAAAGTAATGATTTTTTTTGGATAATAGGGTAGTTATCACAACTTTTTGGTTACCCTGTATAAAAGTTCCTGTTGAAGAATTTTCATCTACTGATAATCTGAATGAGATGAGAATGAGTCTGTAGCAAAAAAAAGATTCAATACATTGCAACTATTATAATTTGTTTAATTTAGCTATTTTTGAAAAAAATCCATGCTGTGGATATTTAGTTGTCAGATACCTGGAGTGATATGGCACAGAAGCATATTTGGCTAAACCAATCTGCGCTGGTTAACAATGCAGCCATTTAAAGGTTTCGCTAAAGAGACTTGCCTGTGCATTTTAAGGTTTCAATGTTAATTTCTTTAAAAAGAAAGTTCTACTTTCACAAAAGGAAGGGTAAAGAAATTCAGTCTATTCCAAATTGAGTCATGATGAAAATGAAAAGAACAGACAAAATATTTTGTGCCCAAATCAAGCGGAATTGAGTCTGGAGCTTGAATGGTTACTTTATTTTTAAATTTAAAAATTGTACATGGGAACTGCAGAACACAGTATTTGATGGCCTTCTGCATTACATCTCTTGTCCTCTGTGATTAAAGAGCGCATTTTCTTGGTCTAAATTACCAAGTTTTTTTATTATTGTGGACTGGTGTAACTGTTAAAGAAAATACAGGTGGTAATTAATGGACGATTAATTCTTACTGAAGTTATGATCAAAACCACTGACATGTATTATGAGTTTTTTTGAGATTTTCTAGGGTTTCTGTTCTGTATTTCTAAGGAGCTATAATTTAAAGAACCTCTTCAGTACTTTTACTCAGCCGGTGCACATCAATTAAATTAGTTGCCAATTCTTGAAAACTTGTAGACGAACAGAAATTTGTCATTTCAGTGTCAGGAATTAAATGCAAACTCTGTTTTAATGCATCATGTTAGGGATCAGGAGATGTGAAGTACCACCTGGGTGTATACAATGAAGTAATAAACCGAGTAAACGATAAGCACATCGCTATGTCACTTATGGCAAATGCTTCACACCTGGAGGCAGTGGATCCAATTGTACAAGGGAAGACCAAAGCAGAGCAGTTCTACCGTGGCGACAATACAGGCAAACAAGTAAGGAGATCAGAAAGGAAAAAAAGACTTTGTTTTGTTGATACGTGTGTTTTGCCTTTCCTGACGTCTGCAACACTTACTCCACTGCCTATCCCCTCAGAGCGCCAAGACCCATATCCATGCATTTGTTACATCTAGGCTCGACTACGCCAACTCCCTGCTTGTCCGCCTTTCCAACTCTTTCCTCCACAAGCTGCAGGTCATTCAGAACTCTGCAGCTCGCGCACCAGGCTCCAAGACCTCATCACCCCCTCCTGCCACTGGCTCCCCATGCCCCAGAGGATAGAGTTCAAAGTGCTCATCGCCTTCAAAGATCTACACGGACTGCTCCTCCCTATTTCTGCAATTTGCTATGTCAACACGTCCATTCTCTGCTCTTCGGAACTCCATCTCACAGCACCTACACTCCCTGCCCTCCAGCACTCCCGATCCCAACCCCCTGCTCGGTCCAAATCCCTGATTGTCTAGTGTTTGGGACGTGCTCCCGATGTGACAGGCACGATACAAACGTAAGTTATTGTTGTTTATTGAATCCTGTTGCAACTAGCAAATGATTATGAGTTCTTACAGTTGAAAAACAACTTTATTTTAACCTGAGGTAACTTACCACCCTGCACCCTTTTGTGTCTGTAAGAAAATCAGTTTATATTTTTCATTACTGTTGTCAAGCAGATACTTAGCAGGTTTTTGTTTGGAGAAGGTAATCTACATTTTTAGCATTAGATGCCATATGGAACTGAAACCAACCATAGCACTATGAGTAGTTCTTCATTATATGCAGACTTTGTATGCATTTGTGAAGTGAATATGTCTGAAAATTCTGAAAATATTCATTTTAATACTTTGGGATCCACTGGAGTGATGTCTTTTATTTTTGCAGTTTCCATAAACAAGCTAGATTTCAATGGATTAATAACTCCGTTTGTTAAGCTATTTTTGTAGAAACATCTTAGTTTTGTGAATTGTGCTGAGATATGTGACCTCAGTCTAGGGAGGGAGGAAATCTGCTTAGGTGCCTGTTGCAGATTATTTTCAGTGATCCACTGCAGCAAAATGTGGACATCAAGGGAGGACAAGATTGGATTTTACTTTGAGCAGCTAGGTGCCCAACACACACACAGAAACCATCATGTGCTTAAATCAGATAGAGCCTGGTTAAGCATTCTACCTGCCCATTTGTCTGGAATGCTTGCGTACTCTCTCCCCAGAGAATGAATTTGAGCCATGTGAGTCAATACATTCTAAATGTACTTTTGAGGATGTTGAACGCCGTGGAGGCGCTATATAAATCCAAGTTGTTGTTGTTGACAATTACAAACTTTTCTTTAAATTAAAGGTGATGTCCATCCTGTTGCATGGTGATGCTTCTTTTGCTGGCCAGGGAATTGTGTATGAGACATTTCATCTAAGTGACCTTCCGTCGTATACAACACATGGCACTATCCACATAGTTGTGAATAATCAGGTAAGAAATCGTCTTATGAACATAAAATGAATTGCTGAATTGTCTTTCATGAGCGAATACATTTATTTCAGATGACAATAATGACAACTGTTCTCTTTAGATTGGTTTTACTACAGATCCTCGTATGGCCCGTTCATCACCTTATCCCACTGATGTTGCTCGAGTTGTGAATGCACCTATCTTTCACGTAAATGCCGATGACCCAGAAGCAGTGATATATGTATGTGGTGTGGCTGCAGAGTGGAGGAACAATTTTAACAAGGACGTTGTAATTGATCTGGTAATTACAAAATAGTAAATCGCAATTTTAAAGCTTAAGATTGAAATCCTTAGAAAAGTAGAAACTTCTTTTAGAATTAAGCTTTCAATATTCAGCTTTCATAGGGTTTAGCAAAGAACCCACCATAACATACGTACTAGCCACTGCAGTGATACCAGTTGTAAAATTGGGAAACAGAGAACTGATTTCAATGTGGAATGTTGTGGATTTATGTTCTACATTTCACAAGTAGTTTAACAATTTAATAACAACAACTTGCATTATATAACGCCCTTCACGCGGCATAGTATCCCAGGGTGTTGAATATAGTAGTCATTTCTGTTGCCACTTTTAGCATTAACTAGCTTACATCCTACTTATTAGTGTGCTGATGTCAATTCCTGCACGCTGCATATGCTATTCTGCATGGGAAGTGCCGCTAACATTGTTTTGAGCAAGAAAGAAACACGAGTTGTGAGGTCAGTGGCAGCTAATGACCCTGAAACTTTTCCTGGCAGCCGTTTCTGAGATGCTCTTGTTATAACACTTGCTACTTTATGTGACCTTTTCATACTGAGCTTCATTTTAAAACAAAAACATGAAATGAAGAACGGTCTGTATTGTCTGTTATGTTCAGCAAAATAGCTATCAAATGCCTATAATTTTGTAATAATTATCATAATTTTACAAATTATGAAAATAGTTGTAGTGTACTAATACTTTACAAATGGAAATATTTCATTGTTCATGCTGCTGTTGTGGGTAGGTTTGCTATCGTAGACGTGGACATAATGAAGTGGATGAGCCAATGTTCACACAGCCTCTGATGTACAAGCGGATCCAAAAACAGGTCCCTGTACTGAAGAAGTATGCGGATAAACTTATAGCCGAAGGAATTCTGACACTTCAGGAGTTTGAGGTCTGCACTATGAACTTTCTATCTCCCGTTCCACCTTTCAACATGATATAGTAAAATGGTTTGCAAGCAACACCTTCACGCTTTAAATGTTGCTGCAACAATTTCAGAATTCAGAATACAATTTCAGAAACCTCATTAAAATATTGTGATTTGGATTCATGATCTCAGATCCCTGTGTTAAAATGAAGGGCAAAAAAAATTGCCCACTTCCAGATCATCAGCTCGCTTCTGACATCACTCCCTGTTCTTGGCACAAGAAGCATCATTGATGGTTCCTACGTGTAGCTTGTCAGCACTGGAAGCCACAAGGCACAATAAGCAAACCCATGCTAAACTATTTTGGGGCATTTCCTTTTTTAATGGGGACACTTGACATACTTGATATTTTCAAGCCATCTCATCTATTATTTTTGGTGGTTGAATGATATTGTAAATAGCAAATGATCTGAGGCTGGGAAATGTGTTTTTCAGGAAGAAGTAGCAGAATATGAAAAAATTTGTGAGGAAGCGTATAATGCATCGAAGGATGAGAAATATTTTCAAATTAAGCACTGGCTTGATTCCCCTTGGCCAGGTAAGCAAATTAATTGTGCCACAAAGGAAAATACAACTTTGAGCTGTTGCGAAAGTACCCTAAAGCTGTACTACAATTTGCATACGTAGAATTATATACTTACAATTTGCAATACTAAACCATGGCATTCAGCCCAACAAGTCTGTGCCACTGTTTATGCTCTACATCCGTCCATCCTATCTTCCCACCTTGTGCAAATAAGCGCAAAAATGGCAGTTAAATAAGTAAATTATAACCTTGGAATGATGTCGATTGCAATGTCACAAATTCCTCCAATAGGTTTTATTGCTGCACTTCTCAATGTTATCAGTCTGTACCTGTAATGGGCATGTGTTTGTATGCTAGCGGTTGGGGGAACAATATTTTAAAAGTAAAAATATAACTTTTTAAAACCTCATTCAAACCTCTCTCTTACACCTTTTTGTATATTGTGTGACTTGAAATAAAACCATCTTGAATTGGTGTTTTTATATGATTTAAAGTAAGCAAGGGTTGTACAAAAATATTATATCTGTTGACTTGAGATAATTTTGCCAACCAAAAGTTATTACACTTTGCAAGAATTGCTGTAAAGCATTTGAGTTTTTTTTATCGGTTAAGGTGCTATAAAATGCAAGTTCTTTCTTTAATTGCATTATCAATTCCCTGTACCGGAGCTGGCATCACTTAGATTAAAATTGTTTTGTAGGGAATTTATTTGTGTTAACTTCTCTGTTTGATTGAGGTATAAAAATTATTACAAACTATATATTTTATCTTAGGTTTCTTTACCCTCAATGGAGAGCCTAAAAGTATGATCTGCCAACCCACTGGTATTCCTAAAGAAACCCTACAGCACATTGGGAATGTAGCTAGCTCTGTGCCTATCGAAAACTTTACCGTTCATACAGGTATGCTCATATGTAGGTAAATAGTATTCACTTGGTGCCTTTAAGGTACAAAACAATTATTTTAACAAAATGATGATTTTGGAAATTGAAAGTGCAGTTTTATTGGATATGTGGTACTAAATTTAAAAACAGAGAATAGATAAAATTAATAACAGATGTACCTTGCATACTTAATTTGAGAAATTATAAGATGCACTTGTCTGTACAAGTAGTCTAGAGTATGAAGTAGACTGAGTGTAAGAGCAATTAGAATTAATCATATTAGAATTCACATCCTTAACCTCCATTTGATACACTGTGTCAGTAGACCACCTGAAGTAGTCCTTACCTATTCACACCCAGAGGGCCCCAGAATTAATCCCTTGTTGAGTTACCAATCTCAGTCCTGTTTATTGAATTTGTTAACTATAAAGAATAGTTACATGAACAAATCCCTTACATGAACAAATCGCTAGTTAAGAAATTGGGTAGATTAACTATTTAAATTTTTTGTCTTTAATCAGTCAAAGGGAAATATGTGAGATTTTTTTCTCCTTTCCCCCTTTTACATTATGGGATTGTAAACAGTAACCGATCGTAGTAATAGTTTGTAATTATGCAAATCACAAATTTATTTAAAGGAAACCATTATGGTATGACAGTTCATGAAATTCCCCAGGGTACCATTTCACTGAAGACTTCAAGACCCGGTGTAAGTAAATGAATGCTTGGATTATAGTCCAGAATTCAAATCTGCTTTGTTCGAAGTAGAAAAACGGTTTTCTCATTGGAAGACATTGGATACCTTGAATTTTATGTGCCTTGAAACACCTGTTTTTGTTAACTTTACATTTGGTTGAAGAAAGAAACTGATTCGATATGTGTCAATCATTGTGTACTTCTGACTCCTTGGGGAGCCAGATGGATTTTTAAAGCAGTAAAAAGAGCCAAAAACTAAACAGAGGTCTAGTGTTCATGATGCTATTTATTATTGATCTAGCATATGGGCACAAACAAATCTTAGCAATGATATGTAACAGCTAACTGCTGTTTATTAATTATGTTATTCATCTTTATGTTAGGCAGCATTCTTATAACCTGGCTTCCAGTGAACAACAATTTTTGAGGACCCTTTCCATATCAATTTAGTTTTATTTTCATGATGTTTATAGTTATATTGTATCAATGCAATTGGAAAGACATTCCTATTCTGATGTATAAAAAATTGAGTAGTCCTGGAATTCATTTGTATCCTAAACTCATTTATGCAGCAACACAAGCTTGTTATTTCAATTTAAAATGCTTCTTTGAATGTTTGCCACAATCTACGATCAGCAGATTCCCTGTGTTTCTTGAAAAAAAAGAGAGTGACAGCCAACAACATGTTTAGAAAACAGTTTGTTGAACATTAATTTATCAGCAACAATTATTATTATCATTAATATCCCAAGAAGGGTTTAGGAGGGAGAAAGGAATGGGTGAAGACTTGTGTGGAGTATAAACACCACTGATTGGGCCAAGTGTCCTGGTTCCATGCTTATATTCTTTGTAAAGACATCTTTATTGTCTTTTTCCTCCCTGCATTGTTACTTTGTTCAAACCAAACTGCATCACATTATCTATGATTTAAATTAATTATGTTCTTGGATCTCTCATACCTCATTCATTCTTGTCTCCCTCATTAAATCTATAAATCCAAATCTAGCATGATTTTCCCTCATTAGATAAATATGCTCTGTGGAGGTCTTGTGTTCAAAAGCCAACCTGTGCTCAGCGGGTATAGTTTCAGTGAGATGGGAGTCTGTGTCCCCAGACTAGAGAGATGAAGATCATCTTACGTTCACAATCCAGATCATTATCTGTAGATTTCTGCAGGGAAAGATGTATGTGGTCAATTCATGTTGCCATCTTATGATTGACTATGATGATTCTATCAATGCTCAGTGGCTAGGCTCACACATAAAAAATCGCTACCCACGTGAGACAAAACATTGCTTGTGCATGCGACACTATAACAACAATAAGATTACATTTGTTTAGCGCCTTTCATGTCGGGAGGATGTCCCAAGGTGCTGAAATGTAGCAGGTGGGACTATTTTGAAGAGTGAATGAGTAAGAGGAGATGGTAGGTTGTTAGGTGCAATTCAAGTATTGGTTTATTGCTTTCATGAAAATGTTTTAGTTTCTTTGGTGATTTTTGGTGAAATTGATTCGTTACTTTGTGTTATCGGACGTTGTGTTAAAAAATCCTTACATGCAAAATAGTGCTTTCATGTCAGGAAAACCTTGAAAAGAAAGGGAGAGTCTTCTAATGTTGTAGCCCACAATGCTCAAGATAAAATCGGTCACTTCCTGGTTGTTCGTGTGACATTGCTGCGCACAGTTGGACTGCTGCATTCACCTACAGAATACATAATCACTATACTTTTCAGAGATTTTGAAGTGCTTTGAGACATTCTAGGAACTATATGAAATGAAACATTTTGTTTGTTTTTTCTGATTCTTATTTTCACTATTTGTCTTAAGACGTCTGACCTATTGAAATGTTTCAGGTTTAATTCGTATTTTAAAGGGAAGAGCAGAAATGATCGCAAATCAGTTGGTTGATTGGGCCCTTGCAGAGTATATGGCATTTGGTTCATTGTTGAAGGAAGGAATACACGTAAGGCTCAGTGGACAGGATGTTGAGCGAGGTACTTTCAAGTAAGTCTGACTGCTAAACTTTACACAAACTAAGTAAGTAAACCACTTTCTCAGCTGTAGGTGCGAGATTTTATGAAATGCCAGCATTTTTGTAACAGTGCAGCTTGGATCCTCATCTGCAATCCATTAAAATTCTTCAGAATATGTGTATTTACATTCACCTGGTTGTGATCCAATTCATCTGTTCATAGGCCAAAAACGACAGTATTGCGCTGGGAAATAAAAATTGGGAGGTCAGCATCAAACAGCTTGTTAGATGTATACTCCTTTCCTGCCCCCACAATATGTGCTAACCACAACTTACAATAAGCCACACACCACCGCCCTGACCTCCACATCCACACAAGTGTGAAGCTTGATATTTGCTATTCTCCACATTTGGGACTTTTTGGATGAGATTGCCCAATTAGTGCTAATTACTGTAGTTCAGAATTAATGACAGTTTTGTGTTGAGGGGCTTTCTGTTGTGGTTTATCATCAGTTGAACTGGATTGAGCAAGTGTAATAAACATTTTAATTTGGTAGCAGTTGTCATGAAAGGGTCACTTCAATAATTTAGATTGGATTCAAAAGCCAACAATTCTTGGTTTTAAAAAATCTGAACCACCCCATGGTGCTTAGTGGCTATCTGTTCTAACGTAAATATGGTGAAGAAGATGCAAGTCTAATTAGTTTGCACAGATATTTCAAAATCTGACACTAAAGCAAGAGAAATTAAATCTATTAAGGCAGGAAAAAAAGTATATTTGTTCAAAACAACATAATTATTCATACCGCGAACATTTTTTGATTGTAAAATATTAGTTTTTTTAATGCAAATCAATGTACTTGAATAATTTGTACAGGAAAAAAATGTGTGCAGACCAACATTGGGTGCACAGAGGTTCAGCATTTGGTCATATCACCATTAAAACAAATAATCAAATCCACATTTATTTAGGTAAAAATTTTGAACGTATTTTTCTGATTTCTTACTTTAGCTAACTGTCTTAGCATATACAACAATTTAATTGTCCTTCTGAATTTTCCAAACTGCAATTCAAAATGAGGAAAAAAGTCCATTGTGTTTTTTATTGGGAGTTTGGGGAAGGGAATAAACTTGTTTTTTGTTTTCCCCCCTCACCCCACATACATCCTTCTTTAAGCAATTTGCTACTAAAACTTGATCCATTTATTCAGATATTCTGGGTAACTCATTATAATATTTGTAACTTCTCATTTTATTATTAGGGAAGTATTTGGAGTGTATTGATTATGTTGACTGTAAAAGTAGCAATCATTTTAGCAATGGTGCATTGTTTACTGTTTTTTAGAGTTCATTAATTATTATCTGAAATACATTGTATTACCTTCACAGCCATCGTCATCATGTATTACATGATCAAGAAATTGACAAGATGACCTGTGTGCCCATGAATCATTTGTGGCCAAACCAAGCTCATTACACTGTTTGCAACAGCTCACTGTCAGAATTTGGTGTATTGGGTATGGTATATTATCTTATTCTTTCTCTATATTAAATGTGCAAGTAATGAGTATATATCCCCAGGCCAGGCTGGTAATCTTGATTTGGAACTATGGGATGAGATAAGAAAAGCGACTTGCAAGGCACCAACTATAATAGTTAGAGATTTTAACTTACCAAAAATTGATTGGGATAAAAATGTGTCTATTGGTAAGATAGGGAAGGAATTTCTAGAGTTAAAGGAAGAATGTTTTTTGACTCAGTTTGTAAAGGAGCCAACAAGGGGAAATAACATTTGGGATTTGGTTATGAGCTGGGTGGGTTATAGAAAATAGCAGACATTTGCCCAAATTACAGGTAGATTTGAAAATTTTGCAGCATTGCGGTGGCGTTTTTGATAAATTTTGCGGAGAATTGTGAGGGTTTGATTGGTGCTATTGAGGTACACTTTACTACCAACCTACATTTTTTCACTTTATTCATGAAAACTAAATATAAAGAAATAACGCATATTAGATTATTAAAAAAAAATGAAGTGCTTCTTTAACAAAAACTGGGTGGCCCATTTTTTTGGGGGGGGCGCGGTGGAGAAACACAAGCAAGGCAACAGGAGCTAACCAACTCCTGCCTCTCATAGCCTGCCACCGCACACAGAGAGACAGACACAGAGACCCAGAGAGAGACAGACAGAGAGACACGCACACACTCACTCACAGATACAGAGAGATATACACACACTCATAGACAGAAAGAGAGAGACACAGACAAAGGAAAGATACACATTCACACAGAGACACTCATATACACACATACAGAGGAGAGAGAGACACAGACACTCACAAACAGATACAGAGAGACACACTCAAACAGCTGTCTCAGGCCTTCTGCACGTCTCTCAATCCCCCCCCTCGCTCCACCATTGGTAGCTATGGCTGGATGCCCCAAATCTCTGCCTGCCACAATCCTGTCTTGTTCCCCCTTTACCCATCTTCAAATTGCACCTAAAGACTTTCCTCTTTGACCGTACCTTTGGTCACCTCCCCTTTTTTTTTCTCAGTGTCAAACCACACTGCTTAGCAGTTTAGCAGCTTGTTATTATGTGTGAAGGATGCTACATAAGTGCAAGTTGTCTTTGTTGTTGATATTTACTAGTTGCCTTGGGTAACATTCAGTATCTTGAGAATTTGTTATAATTAAGGAAACACAATGTGAAGATATACACTCATTATGTTGTTATATTGACTGAATCATTTGCAAAGGATATTATTTATGGTAAAATATTGAACATGTGGATCTATATATTTTGATAGCTTGTAAGAAGCACAATTAACTTTCTATTAGTATAACCTATACACATATTTTATTGTGTTTTTCTACAGTTGGCATTAACATATAGTTCCCCTTTTTGTTTTCTTCTATTTAGATGTAGTGCTAATACAGTAAGTTTGAAACCACTGTAAATATAGCTTTTGATGTACAATTCCCAAATAGGTTTAAACTTTTTCTCTGTTTTCAAATTTGTGAAGATTGTAAAGTGACCAGTGAAACAGAATAAGAGTGGCATTCAGGGATTTCACTGCATTCCCTTGAGTAGGTGGCAGCCAGATAAGCAGACATAAGGCAGATATTATTGCAAACAAACTCACAAATGGTTAGGCAGCCAGATGTTACTTTGCAATGCTGGCACCTGTTCAGAGTTTGAAGCTTTCTATCAAGTTAATGTTTAGGATAAAGTGAACATCTGAGGTATAAATTCTCCTTTGGGAGGATTTTTTGAAATGAGTAATGTGAATCTAAATATGCAGCCTGGATGAAATCTAAAGGATAACAGATTGTATTTGGAAACACAACCATCTTTGTGATAGACATTTTAGCTTGAGCCCACAATCTTCTGACTCAGAGATGATAGTGCAAGAAATTAAGCCAGACTGACATGTTGACATAAAATTATAGTTTAGCTGACCCAACTCTTAACAACAGCATAACATTTTTTTCAGTGCAATTCACTTTAGGATGTTGTGATCACCATTTTTCAGAACCTTAAAAAGAGTTAATCATTGCAGACATTTTCAGTTTAGAATTTGAAATTAATAATAAAGTCTGCACATCACCAGGTAATTGTGCATTTAAAGTCATTATTCTACTGAAAAAATAAATAAAGTTGTTATAACTTCTCATTAAATAATTTTATCACATTAAATTAATTCTATCACATTAATTGGGAGGATTGATGGTTAATCTTGGTGTTTATTTAAACCTTGCATCTGATGAAAAAATTATAACACATATATGTGAATAATGTAAATTGTATTGGCATCCTAAATTGTAATAGAAAGATTTAGAATTTGAGTTGGTTAAGAGGTGATTTGATTGAGCTGATTGAAAGAATGAAAGGAATTGACAGGTTAGATATTGGAGGGATCAAATACAATAGAATATAATTAGAATAGATATAACTGAAGTCAGGAAGCACTTCTTCACACATAGGACTGTGAAAACGTGGAATGCTCTGCCCAGAAAGCTGTAGAGGTGGAATTAATATGGATATTTAATAGAGCGATAGACAGATACTTGGGTTAAAAAGCTGTGAAGGGAGATGGTGAAAGGATGAGCATTTGGATTAAAAGATCTGGCAACATTTATTGAACTGATAAAATGGGCGTGATGGGTCAAATAGCCTCTTGATACGTTTTAAAGCTTAAAAAAACAGTAACTTGGTATTTTTAATTCTCATCAAATTGTCAAAGCCACATTTAAGCTATTTAGGCCTGACCTTAATAAGGAAGGTTTCAGACATTTTGTGCAATATTACGGATTGAATGTATCCTCACAGTGATTTGTGCACGGTGATGTAAAACAGAAACAATGATTTTAATGATTTGATTTTAAAGAAACAACAAGTTTAGGTGAATGCCAAAGTTGATTAGAAGGTGATCTTGGTAATAATGGCTGAAAATTTGAAAAACAGATAGGAACACTCTGAGTATTGATAAACGTTTGCCCTTTCATTGGAATATTTGATTTTTTTCAACAGCGTAAGAACATAAAAAATGCTAGACGAAAAAAGACCATATTTCTAAGGTTTATAAATATAGACTTTACAGAATAACAGATGTGTGTCAGTGTAAATAAAACAAAGCCGGAAGGTGAAAAGCTGGCATTAAATATTCAGAAAGCATATCTTTATATATTTATGATTTGTTGAATCAGAAAGAGCACAGCACAATTTGGAAAATATTGTTATCCCTACTATAATTCGTCTCAATATTTACAGTACCCCGTGTATGATATTTCTATGTACAGTATGCTGGCGGGATGTATATATGTATTTGTTGATTAAATTCCAGCAGTAAATTATGATTCATTATTTGGTTACAGGGCCTCAGCTGGTAGACTGTACGTGGGCAATAATATGATTTGCAATCTTTTTATGGTAGTCTAACAATTGGAAAAAAATCATTTTATAATCTTGTTAATTAGAAAGAGATTTATATTTGTCCTATAACTAATTTGTATTTGTTATCTGATTGTAGGCTTTGAACTTGGATTTGCGATGGCAAGTCCTAATGCCTTGGTGTGTTGGGAGGCTCAGTTTGGTGACTTCCATAACACTGCCCAATGTATTCTGGATCAATTCCTGAGTGCGGGGCAGGCAAAATGGGTGAGGCACAATGGAATTGTTCTGCTTCTACCCCATGGCATGGAGGGCATGGTAAGATTTTTAAAAAAAATACTTTTTATACATGAAACTAATTTCTGCAAATCAAAGATTGAAATAGGCCCTTTGAATTAGGTATAATGTATGAAAAATCATTTATTTTATTACAGGGTAATTTCAGGATTGCATTTTAATAAGCAACTCTCCAGTAGGGATCCATGACCATAATTTTTTTTATTCCTAGGGGTAATTGTTTGATTTATTCAGGATGTATTGGTATGTCATAGCACGCATTTGTTTAATCTGGTTGTTTTCCATCCTTTTCACATGAAAGGCGCTATACAAATGTAACTTGTGGTTGTTGTTTTAGTACACTGAAGCTATGTTTCACAGTATAGCAGCAACCTATTCCTGTGCAGGAGCAGGATACCAAATTCATGCATGTTTAACAAATTATTTTATGGTATTTGAAAAGTTGAAATAATTATTCAGCACAGTTAAGAGGTCATTCTGAAAACTACAAAATTTGTCTTCATAGAATCGTACAGCACAAAAAGAGGCCATTCAGCCCATCGAGTCTTGAAGAAATTGTTATTTTAAATGGTGCAATGTGATGTCCCTTATCCCTCCCCCCCACCCCACCCCCATGCAGCTAAATGTTGCATTCAAAATTCATAGTAGCTCCTCAGAGTTAAGTATCAAGGAGTTCCTTTGTTTGCAGGGTTCAGGGTCTGAGGATGTAGGGGCAAATCGTTTGAACATTTGTAATTTGCTTGATAATGCTCCTGTTGGACTAGATTTAGTCATGATTATGTTGTGCTTTTTTTAATATAATTTTTTAAAAATGTTACTGTCAAGCTCATCCCAAATGTAATGGGCTGTTTAGTATGTCGTCCTTCAGTCCTCATTTAAATGGCAAGAGCTGCAGATAATTTTATTCTGCAGAATTGCTTGCCTAAAAGAATTTCAATTTGTTTCTAGTAAGTGGTAATGTCATTAAAAACATCCTGATTGCATCAATCAATTAATATTCCCACTGGGAAAACTAATCCATTAGTGCTACACTTTTATTATAACCTGTATTTCATGCAATTTGCTAAGTTGATTAGTGGTCTTTAGTTATATAGAGATGATTAATAGCAAAGCTCCGTCCACCCTCAAGATGAGACTCTTGTAATTAATACTGAAAGTGTTGTAAGTTGAATTGGAATTTGAAGACTACAAGACAGATTGCCTTGGATTTGACTTATTTTTTTACAGCAATCCCTGATACTGATATTTTTTATTTTTAGAAGCATCGTTATCATTGTTTAATTCAATACAATAAAAGGTGTACATTGCGACTGAAAGCTTTTAATATTTTTCTTCCAAATTGGTATTTGCTCATTTTCATTTCCAGGGTCCAGAACACTCATCAGCCAGACCAGAACGATTCTTACAAATGAGCAATGCTGATGCGGATGCAAATCCTGTAAGTCTGCCTATCTACCATAAACCAAAAGCAACACAACCTCCACAAATTGATTAAAAAAACAGTCAGAATCAAACAAAGATTAATGATACACATTTCTGTTATCTTTGTAAAATTATCCATGGTAAACCCTGTTCAAGTGAAAACCATCTCAAATTTTCAAGTCACTTCCAACTATTGTCAAACCTTTCATCCTTGCTAATATCATAGTTTAAATATATATTATTATATATATAAAAAATATCAGATCCATATGGTACAATATAGATATACAAGGATTTTATATATAAATATATATTATTATAATATATATTTATATATAAAATCCTTGTATATCTATATTGTACCATATGGATCTGATATTTTTTTATTATGGTGTGCCAAGAACTGGACGAAAAACTTTAACTACAGCTTAACCAATTCCAATTCAGTTCCCGGCAGGACGAAACCTTTGGCAAGTTTCCTTACTCCACATACCTAATAATCCCTCAAGAAAAAAACAATAATAATTTGGTCACTCAATCCACGACTGTTTGTGGGACACTGCTATGGTAATTGGCTGCTGCGTTTCGCCCACAAATATACAGTCAATTCACTTTACAATATATTCTGTGAAGCGCTTTGAGATGTCTAGAAAACGTGAAAAGCTCTATATTTAATGCAAGGATTATTATTATTATTAACATTACTGTTAAGGATTCTCTTGAGAACAGTATTAAGTTGGTAAAGCAAAAGTCTTTTATTAAAATTGACACAATCAGCTGTATTGTAACATTACAATACGTTTAATCAATAGACAGAATCGAGATCATATTACCCAATCGCAGCTTCCGGACAGCGGCGGTTGCAACTCAGTCAGTTGCTATTCTCCGAAACTCTGCCCTGAGTACACACAGCAGTGCTCAAAGCCAGCACTGCTTATCCAGTCTTTAGATCTGGGGTTTTTATAATTTCCTCAATCTTGCAGTTAGTTATACCCATCAGTTTGTTCCACTTCTCCGCAAATGTAGCATATGTTGCTTTCATCTACTGCAACCTTAAAAACAACTCCATACATGAATGTTCCTGACTCGTCAGTTGCTCACTTTCATTCTGGCTTCCTAGTCCCTTAATTCATTTCAATATTACTACTAATACCTTGTTTAATAAGGCCTTATACATAACCCCATAATTATCACACTTAAGCAATTGTTCTCAACATTACCTCCTTGAAAAATTTACACCGAAATAGATGAATAGGTCAGAATGTGATTTCTCAGTTTGTATCAGCAACCTGATTAAGTTAAACTAAAGGTCCCATAAAAGAGGCATTCAAATTCAATGGTGAGGAAATAATTTGAGTTTGCATGTCTCCCCTTGGTGAGTGACTTTCAGCATTTAGCAGTCAGAAAGTGAGATGTTATGGACAGTTTAAATTGTACATGTTGATCATGGAATGAGATTTCTGGTGGTCCTCAGAAGGTATGCAGTTCAGATTGTTCTGTCTGAATCAGGGATGTCAAATTATGGAATAATCTGCAGGAAATTAAGTGACTAATCTCTTCAGTATATTTGGCAAACAAGTTAAGTTACAGTTTTTCTTTTGCTTTTAGTTTCAGTTGTTAAATATAGACAAAACTCAATTAATTCTGCTCCTTTTTCAACTTTGAACATGTAATTTAGCTCTCTTTCACAAATTCTCCAAAAAGTTGCTGCAGAGCCTTTAAATAACATTTTTCAAAACTCTGAGCATACTGCTTTTAAAGCAGCTGGAAATATTGTTCTAATTGATTCAAAAATAAACCAATTCAGATAAATTGTCTCAATTCAAATTAAATGTTGCTTGTAGCTACTTTCCAGAATTAAGATTGCACAGTGTAAAATCTTCTGAAAGATAAATAGATTTATTTATTTATTTATTTTACAATTGTTTCCAATTTGTTTTGTTAGCCAATTTAAAGAAGTGTACAACTTTGTGTTGTGTTTGATTGAGGTTATTAAAATAGCGCTGGTAGGTAGCAATTATAAACCATAGCAAGAGATACCCTTTCAGATTGCACCTTTACTTAAAAAGGCAATTAAAGTACCTGCAATGCTGATGTGAAATGTTTGTAAGGTTGAAAACATGATTTCTGACTGCTATACACAAATCCTTTTATGATATTAGCAGTAATTAATGTTTTAGTCAAAATGCTTTGCAGAAGACTTTTGTGTCATTGGAAATAGGAGAGGAGATTATTCGACCCCTTGAGGCTGTTTCATCAGTTTATTATATCTTGTCAGTCTTTAATCCCAGTGTCCCGTTCTTTCGCCATATCCCGTAACGCCTCTGCTTCCCAAATATTTGTCTCTTGAATAACTATTGATTCCATCTCTACAGCTTTCTGGGTCAGAGCATTCAACATCTTTACTAACCTTGGGATGAAGAAATGCTTCCCTCCCTCAGTACAAATTGCCTTAGTTCTGATTTTAAGAATATGCCCCTTGTAATGGATCCCTCTGCTAAAGGATACTACTATCTAACCTAATTTCTTGGCCGAATGCGCAGTTTTAAAGCTAGATCTTCAGGTGAGGTTTGAAGGTAGAAAGGGAGGGAGCAAGGGATAGGAATGTCAGAATGAAGTTTGAGAGCAGATACAGAATGGCTGAAACCTTGTTCGCTGATTGTGGTTGGAGCGGACAGGGGATTTCAAGAAGTCCACTGCTTGCTAAAAAAAAAGTGACAGTTATTTGTATTACAAACCTTAGCATGAATACAGTGTTTAAATAAATTGGTTACACTCAATATTGCTGCTTTGTTCTTCATCAGTGATGCAATTTTTAGGATTGAATTGAGATTCTGATTGAAACCATAGAACGTGAGAGCACAGAAGAAGGCCATTTGGCTCATTGCTGGCTCTTTCAAAGAGTATTCAATTTGCATACCTGCTTTTCCCCAAAACCCTTAAAATTACTCTTAAAACCCTTATAAATCCTCCTAAACTCTCCCATTGCCAATTAAATTTATGTACTTTCATCAGACTCACTGACCATTGGAAGTAGTTTCTCCCTACCTATTCTATCGAAACTCAAGACTATGTTCTCTGTGACTCATTGTGTCTTGATCTGTCGCTACATGCGCACTTACTGCCAAGCATTGGAATCGCGAGAAATGAAGTTCCTCTGTGCATGCCGGGCCAGATCAAGACTACATTTCCTGCGATTCCATGCAGTAAGTGTGCATGCGTTAAAGATTCGGGACATAATTTCCCACGATTTAATGCAGCCGGTATGTGCAGGAGAAATGGAGGATGGGGAACAGCATTACAAGTTAGGAGATGATAAATACAAGCATTGCAAAGAAATCTAAGTGGTTTTGATAGGAAAATGAATGGGACTCAGGTGCATGTACGACGTAGGGGATTATACAATTTAGATAAAACCTATGCAAGTTTTTATATTTTTAATAAATCTATAAAAGATTTTTTTTAAAAATCTAAAATAGGGTTGTAAAATACCTTCTAATATTTCTGGAAAAAGGATTTACAAGGTTTTTAAAAAAAATGTACTTCATTGTGAAGAATGTTTGAGTGATCTTACGAATGTATGTTTTTCAGCAATTCAGTGGAGACTTTGAGGTGCATCAACTGTTTGACTGCAATTGGATTGTGGTGAACTGCTCCACAGCAGCAAATTTCTTCCATGTCTTGAGGCGACAGATTTTACTGCCATTTAGAAAACCGGTATTAATACCTTTGTATTTCTTTAATAACCTTTCTTATGTTACTTATTCATAATCAGTTCAAAAAGTGGTCAAATAAATATTCTTACGTTATTGAACTACCCTAATATCTTAAGTTTCACAGATGGAATATGTTAAAGGGAAATGTCATCCCTCTGGAATGGTATTACTTCTTTCATTAACTGCCAAATCAAAATAAGGTTGTTGAATTCAACAGTGCTATATAAAGCACCTAACCAAATTGGCTCCACCCGAGGTACAAATTTTTAATTTTCCACCCCTAACTCTCATCAGGGCAAGTGTCCACATCCAGTGAATCATTCTGCAACTTCACCCAAAGCGGTCACTTCATTGTGCGAATCTGGGTAGAGTGTAGACTGTGGAATTATGGGAATGATCACAGCCCAGCTTGATTAATCAGCACATTTCCAATATAAGTTCCTGGAATTAATTGTAGAAACCTGAGTCAATTTTTTTCTCTCCTTACCCATGGGACACAGAGTTCAATTGGTCCCACAGCACCCAATGGAAATTAGGTGTTTGGAGACTTTTTTCAGCTGCATTGTATAGTGGGTTTGGGCCCCACATCATCAGGGATACAAATCAACATTCAAAGTAAAAGTGTCAGTTTCATATTTGCTCCTGTTGGATGATGGAGATTCATTTGAATCAAAGAATAAGCAGTTCAACCATACTTGGGGATATAATTTTATTTAATTACCTTGCTTGTTGCTCTGTATCGATTAGTAGAGTAAGAAAGTACTTTCAGAAAAAAATAAATAGATGCAGATTGCCAGCATTGAATACAAATTGTTATTACTGCATTATGTGATAAAGTCTGTCCTTCATATTCAAGTTAAAGCTTTATTCTTGCAATATTGCTTTTTCAGTTGATTATCCTGACACCAAAATCCCTGCTGAGACATCCTGAAGTCAAATCCCATTTTGATTTAATGGTTACCGGTAGGTTTTTATTTAAAATTCAAAACACAGATCAAATAACTACACTAGCTGGTTCCAGTAGACCAGTAATTGAATGAGAAATCAGCAAATGGCACTAGTATTACAGTTCACAAAGTAAACAACATTTCTGCATTGACACCGTATCTGTCAGAAAAAACATTTGGTTGCCAAAGCTATCAATTACCCTTTTTATGGATAAAATATAGTTAGAAAATGGAAAAAGATAACTGCATTATCATTTAAATTTGTCACAAACAAATCGCACCTGTGTTTCTTTGAACAACAAATTATATTACTCTTTGTTTTTCCCCTCTCTTTAACTTGTCGCTTCATGTTGAGTTTTTGTTATTGTTATCCTGATGTAACTCTAAGGAAAGTGGAAAATGAAAAGTGATGCCCTATTAAATATAATAAAAGTACAAAATAACTATTTTCTCACTCCATCGTCCAGTACAACTTTGGCCTTTCACCCAATAATCTGGGTACCTATACTATGCTAATTGTACACTAAAACTACTCAGCTAACTAATCCAAGTGCATGTTAATAGATCTAAATGATCATAGATATTTGGAATGTAAAGACAAATAATAATAAAAAATCTTGCATTTGATACAGCACATTATCAAGTTGTTGAAATGTCTCAAAGAGCTTCATAGAATATGCTTAAAGAGTTTTGACTGAGATTTTTGGGGCAGAAGACTGGTTTAATTTAGAAAGGTACATTTTTGGCTGTTCATTTGTTTCATAAAACATGCTGATGCAGTATTAAACCAAAAGAACAGTAAATATCTTTCTGACAGCTGGACATATTAGAACTTTGTTTATACATTAATCCAGTTTTTACATTTCAAGTTGTTATTCAAATATATGTCTACATTAACATTGTTGATGACAAACTTCTTCATGAGGAATCTCCCAAACAATCCCAAATAAATTTGGTCATTGGCTGTTCGAGGGATATTGTTATGTGTAAATTAGCTGTTGTGTTCACCTACAAAATGCACAAATAAAATTACAGTTTACAGTATATCCTGTGAAGCCCTTTGAGACATCCTCCAGCTGTGAAAGGTGTTTTATTAAGTGTAAGGATTTATTACATTTTGATCAGATCTAACTTTGTTAAATATATATACCTCTCAAAGGCTTACATATATTCTAACAGGATTTATTATATCTAATTATAGAAAATATTTAGAATTCAGTATTAATAAATGACAAAGCATTGTAACCATTTCAAAATTAAAAATCCTTGTTATTTTATAGGTACAAAATTTCAACGCATCCTTCCTGACGAAGGGCTTGCAAACCAAAATCCAAGCGATGTGAAGAGATTAATTTTCTGCACTGGAAAGGTTTATTATGATCTTAAAAAAGAAAGGAAAAACAGAAACTTGGAGAAAGAAGTGGCTATTGTAAGATTGGAGCAGGTAAATAGGAAATACAGCTTGAGATGACCAAGTGCTGATACCTGATTTTAAAATATGAATTGCAGATACTAGAATTCATCACAGCAGGTTGATAATTTTATTGATTTCAATATATTTAACATTCTAATGTTATACTATTTGTTTCAACGCTCAGATCCTACCCCAAATGCAGGACATTATATAAAATCAAGTTGTTGAGACGTGATCGCAAATCTGACTTAGTAATTGGGAAGTTTTTGCTATACCACGCTATCTTAAAATTTTTTACTATCTCCCCCCATCCATTTGAATCTATTTGAAATCCATTCAAATCTATTTTTGCATTTACTGGGCCAAAGTAATTACTTATATCTGTTTTTTGTGTTGGCCTTCAAAAACATTTTGACGTTTGCCGACCATTGTGGGTAAACTTATGGAGACTCTTATTAAGGATAAAATCATGGAGCATCTGGCCAGAAATAAAATCATAAATAATAACCAATATGGGTTCATGAAGCGAAGGTCTTGCCAATCTAATTTACTGGTTTTCTTTGAGGGTGTGACAAAAGAGTTTGATAATAATAAGGCTGTGGATGTCATATATCTGAATTTCAGTAAGGCCTTTGATACTGTTCCTCTTGAGAGGCTGGTACTGAAAGTAAAGAAAGTGGAGGTATATTGCAATGCATACTCAACCTGTTGACCGAAAGAACCCAGAGTGTGGTGGTACAGGGAATGTCATCAGACTGGGAAAATGTTACCAATGGAGTGCCACAAGGGTCTGTTTTGGGATCTCTTGTTTAATATTTTTTATAAATGATCTGGAACTAGGAGTCCAAGCACAGTGGCTAAGTTTGCGGATGACACTAAGCTAATGAAGGTGGTAGATTACGAAGCTGAACAAGATAGGTTTACAGGAGGATTTGAACATACTTGGGAATTGGGCAGATCGGTGGCAGCTGAAATTCAATGTGGAGAATGTAAACTACTTCACATGGAGACAAAAAATTCTGGAAGGGACTATTATTTGAATGGAAGGAAAATAATATGTATGTAAAATGAAAAAGACTCGGGGATCCTGATTGACAATAAATTGAAGCTTTTCCAACAGTGCTCTATGGCAGTGAGTAAAGCAAACCAGAAATTGGGATGTATCAAAAGATCAATAGCAAGCCGAAATAGTGGGGTAATCCTGCCACTGTATAAATCATTGGTGAGTCCATATTTAGAGTACTTTGTATAGTTCTGGTTGCCGCAGTACAAAAAGGATATTGGAGAAATCGAGAAGATACTGAGGAGGGGAACCAAAATGATTGATGGAATGGAAAAATGGACTATGAGGAGCAACTAAGTAAATTGGGCATGTTCACGCTGGAAAAGAGAAGATTGAAAGGTGACATGATTGCTGACTTTAAAATTCTAAAAGGGCAAAACAATATAGATCATGACAGGCTGTTTCAATTTGTCTAGAATAGTAAAACCAGAAGTCACAGCCTGTGAGTGAAAGGGGGTAAATTCAGAATGAATCTATGCAAACGCTATTTCAGTGAGAGAATAGTGAACCTGATTGTAAAATTGTGTAATTTCATATGAATTTTACAGTGAGAATATGCAGTTTTCTTCTTTCATGTGAATGAAAAGACCATAAGAAGGCATGACACAAGTCAGCTTCATGTGAAGCCCATATAAAATCTTTCTTGCCTTGGATTACATGTATTTTTTTTTTCTGGGGTTGAAGTTATGCAAAGACTTCCTAAATCCCAATCAATTATTCACAAACTCTATTAATATTTTCCTATATCTCGAACATTGAAATATAAATCTTTGCCTCCACAAACAACAGCTGCCACCTTCCTTCTGCTCACCCCCACATCACAGAGATTACTGTTGATGTGCACTGATCCTTCTATCAACCTGCAATAGTGTTCACAAACAGCAAACTTTACTGTTTTTGATAGATTAAAAATTAGACTATTCATTCCACAAACATCGGTATACAGAATGTACTGTATAATGAAGAGATTCTGAGATGCAACTTAAATTTATATGAAAATAGTTAAAATGATTAGTCTGTCATTTACAAATTTCACTTTCAGAATTAATTATAGTTGGAAAAAAAAGTCATTTTTATTCATTTTCCTGCATGATACTTCAAATGCAAAGATAGTTAAAAAGACCAAAGCAAAAAGTTATTTTTCTAGATATTTTTATGCATATTATGTCTTATGTTTTCAGCTAGCGCCATTCCCTTTTGATCTGTTGAAAGTAGAAATTGACAAATATTCCAAGGCTGATCTCTTCTGGTGCCAAGAAGAGCATAAGAACATGGGCTACTATAACTATGTTAAGCCTCGCTTTAAGACACTTGTATGCTACAAACAAAGTATCAGGTAATTATCCGGGGATACTTGCTTTTCTCATGTGTTGATGGATAAAAGAAAGAATAGTCAGTGAAAGGAGGAATAATACTGTCAATAAATATTGGTACTTGCTGCAGTACCTAAATGGAGAGCATAAATTTGATTTAGAAATCATGAATTTGCTCCAATATTCAGTGTAGATGTTAACTTTGCTTTTGTGCTTATCTTTCGCCAGCCGCCTTAGTTTTTTGGATGGAAAAACAACGTTTTGAGTATTACCTTAGGAAAAGGATAAATGCAATGTGATTGAATCACCTTTTAGAAGAGGAATTCACAGTATTGTCTTTTCATCTTTTGCTATTATTAAAGTTTCAATTACAGAAATGACACGTGAATAAAGACGATGTTTAGCTCTTAACATTTAGATTCCATTAGCTGCATCACTGTGAAGGTAATCATTCCAGCACTGGATAATTGTAGTGCATGTAAAATGCTTCTACACAGTTATTAAAGCATATTTCCTGTCCACAGAACGTTAACTATACATGCGAAGCTACATAAAATGATATTTTATTCCATTAGCATAATTTGGTAAACCATTTACCAATCTACTGGTTAAGATTGAATTGCTGAGAAATTTAATTATCAAGTGAGGGGTATCATAATTTTTAATCTGTAATCAGTTATTTGGAGCTGACATCAAATTTAGCTATATTTAACTTGTTTTCTTATTTCCTTCAGGTATGCTGGACGTGACCCTGCATCTGCGCCTGCCACGGGTAACAAGAAAACTCACGTAACTGAGCAGCAAAAGTTCCTGGATGTGTCCTTCACACTTTGAGGGCATGGGGTGTCGAGTCTAATGTGAAACCAATCTCCAACAGTCGCAGTTGATGTTATTTTTTCGCACATGTAATCTGTTACTCTGTTTTTGTTTCCTTCATCACGTAAATAAAATGTCAAATGTTTCCAGACATTAATATTGTCCAAATTTGCTGGTTATTTAGAAAAGCGCTTCTTCTGGTGGGTATTTTGTGAAAAGTGGGACGAAATGAGAATCAGGAGGAAAGGGAGGAATCATAATTATATAGCACAAAAGGAGGCTATTCGGCCCATCACGTCTGTGCTGGCTTTTTGAAAAGAGCTATCCTATTCAATCCCACTCCTCCACTTTTTTCCCACAGCTCTGCAAATTTGTCCTCCCAAAATAATTATCCAGGAAATAAGGAAATAGATAAAGTACCCATTATTGTTTTTGCTCAGTCTGTTGAGGTTATAATTATTTATTGTACCATATTTGTTTTTATTTCCATTCTTTGTAATTTGTAAAGATAGTTTGTTAAAATAAAACATTTTAATTTCATTTGCAACAGGTGTAAGTCAGATGAAATACGGTTCCTACCGTTTATCAGTGTGCAAAATATTTTAATTAATGCAATTTTGTGTTATCCTATAAGGCTTGATAAAACATCTTTATTTACATATTTAATATTTCTGCTTCTAAAATCGTCACCAGTTTAATTGAATAATACAGCTGATTTGTGAGCTAGCTCTTGACGACGAATTATAATTGGTTGGTAGGTGACAAGTCATAATGTAAGAATATGTTATAATCATGATACCATTGCAAAATATTTCAAGAAACTCACTGAATTGATTTCTAACTCTGAATTACTACTTACTGTTAGATTGCTCGAGGACTTCAGATTGCCAATAATTGCTAATGCCACCATTATCAGAGGAGGTAATTCAAGAAAATTGGATAAAAATCAATACACTATTAAACCTTACAACATTCCGTCCATCTATTTGAGAACCAAACCAATTTGAGGTAGGTAGAGTAAAATAACTTCTCATCTACTGAGTAGGATATTTCTATGATGCTTTTGCAATCCCAAATTATGGAACTAAACACAAACCTAACATTTCCAGGATTAACATTCATAAATAGCAGAGAAATGCAAGAGATGTTTTATCTTTTTAAAACAAGGTCAAAGATATTAGTTATGAACACCCATCTACTTTTAGTGATGAGGAGAGGTGAAGACTTCTATTTATTCCTTGTAGGCGAAATTTGTAACAAAATATAGCAGATCTTCCTAGGATAATCATCGGCAGTTATTGACAGGACTGTGATAATAAATCATGTAAACTCTGAACAGTTCCCATACTTGCCAGCCTTTTAATAATTCCAGAATATTGATTGATCAAAAGTGGCATTCAAAGAATACCTTTGTTAAAATAATATTAAGATCTTGATATTTTATTACTTGTACATTTAATATATTTACATTGGATGGTAAATATGTTAGAGATCGCTTCAGTAGAACTGTGAATATAAATGGCACATTTTGGAGCAAAAGTAAAACTGAAGTCTTGTTGTAAACATTCAAATTGTTTTCATGGTTTATAAAGCGCTTTTGCAGTGATCACCAAGACAAAGACACCACACAATCGACTGCTTATTAAGCCTCTTCATGAATTCCAGAAAATGACCCTTTTCTATTTACTCTAATGTATCTGTAAGATCTCTGTAATGTGTTTGAACTTGTTATGTTGTACCTTCCCGCATTATTAAATGAAATAAATCAGATTTGGAGGCTTATGTTTTGAATTGAATGGAAGATTAACAACATTACAATCCTTTGGGTAACTGTTTATCTGACAATTTAATCTATTCTATTTGAAAGAAAATAATGGAATAAATACACAGTATTAAGTATTTCAGTTCTTAATTGATTAATTTTGGTACTTTTATGTCAGAAAATTATTTTGTCCATAGAATCAGTAAACATTTGATTAGGACAAGTTAGATTACAAAACTCAACTAAAAAAAAGGTTCATATATGTAAATGTGCTGAATTAAACATTATATTTGTCCACAGGTTGCAATAGGAGGAATTTGTAACGTCAAACATAGAATTAAGGGAATTATATGATTGAGTTACTGAATGGAGTTGAAGGTATGTTATTTTCTGAAATTGCTTTCTTATACTTTGAGTAACCATTATAAAATTACTGAAAAACAGAACACACTGAAAAATAAACACACTGTAACTATATCTTTTCCAAACTTTCTTAAATTAAACATGTATTAATTTCTCATAATGCTATCAAATTGTAATGTTTTCAGTGATTGATTCAGTGTTTCGGATAATGAAATCCATCATCTAGAGTTGATTAGATATTTTAATGGCCTAGATGGCTTTCACAACCATTAGTTTGGTTGTGAAGGACATCTAATTTTGAATTAATTGAAAGAATGCTTTTATTAAGCATAAATCTAGAATGAGAAAGAAAGAATAGGAAAATGCCATTTAGAATATCAAGCCCACAAGATGCCCAATTGAACTCAGCCAATTACGTTTGATTTCAAGATCCTCATCCTCACCTACAAGGCCATTCACGGCCTTGCTCCCTCCTACCTCTCCAACCTACTATCCCCCTACCTACCTGCCCGTACCCTCCGTTCCTCTGGCTCTGGTCTGCTCCACGTCCCCCGCCCCAACCGCCCTACCATCGGTGGTCGGGCCTTCAGCCTCTCAGCCCCGAGGCTCTGGAACTCCATCCCCCAGTGCCTTCGCCTTGCTTCCTCCCTTTCCTCCTTCAAGGCCGGTCTCAAAACCTTTCTCTTTGACCATGCCTTCAGCTCCCCTCTCGACTCTCTTCCCCCTCCTCGCTCCCTCCCTTCCCTCCCCTCACCCTGACCATTTCCCCCCTCCTCGCTCCCTCCCTTCCCTCACCCTGACCATTTCCCCCCTGCTCGGGTCATGACCCAACTGTGCAGCGCCTTGGGACGTCCTCCTGACGTGAAAGGCGCTTTATAAATGGAATCTTGTTGTTGTTGTTGTTGTTGTATATTCCTGAGGGAAAGTGTCTCCTTAACCCTGAATATAAATGAGAAAATCTCCTAAATATCTATCTTCACTCATCCATTATTTATTTACATTTAGGATATTATTACATTTAGAAAGATGTAAAACATGCTATAGTTTTGCAAATGACCAAACTGAAGTTAATTGTTTCACCCCCAATTATACATTTTTTTTAACTTCATATAATTTTTATAAAAATATAATTTCACCCCCAATTATACAGTCAATTCACTTTACAGTATATTCTGTGACGCGCTTTGAGATATCTAGAAGATGTGAAAAGCGCTATATCAAATGCAAGGATTATTATTACTAATTGAGTAGTTCATGACATGCTTGAAAAGTGTAAATGTTTCTCTTAATCTACTTGTATCTACTTCATCTGTTTTAAGGCCAATAACTGAATAATGTGATTACCATTCAGAGGGGACCTCAACAGAAGAAAGTTAAGTGAACTATTACATCAGCCTTTTTTTTAAACCAGTTGCCAAACTGCCGTCAATAGATTGTACCAGGGAGTTTGCCAATTAGTAATAAAGTTATAAAGCATATTAGTATAAGATTGGCCTTGGCCCTTAATGCAGCATGAAACGCTCTAGAGTTTTATCTTTTAATGAATAACAGCTACATCTTAACTTTTTCCTTTATGCACATTCATTACTTTGCCTTAATGATGTCTGACAGATAGATAACAAGTCCGAGGCTCTCCTGATTGGCTCCCGTCAGCGTTTCCTCACCTCAGGCGCTGACAGTATCACCATCCATGGTTGCACATTCCACCTTGCTAAGCCGGTCCGGAATCTTGGGGACTTGTTCAACCCTCAACTATCCTTTGTACCCCACATTCTCGCCATGACCCGCTCTGCCGTCCCCCACCTCCACAACGTCGCCCGGCTCCGACACTGTCTCATACCGCAGGCCGCCGAAACCGTCATGCATGCCTTCATTACATCGAGGCTCGACAATGCAAACTCACTGCTTGTTGGCCTCCCCAGTTCCTCCCTCCACAGGCTGCAGATCATCCAGAACACTGCAGCCCGTTCTAGGCTCCATGACCCTATCAACCCTATCCTAGCCCAACTCCACTAGCTTTCCATCACATAGAGGATACAGTTCAAGATCCTGGTCCTCACCTTCAAAGCCCTCCATGGTCTTGCTCCCCCTACCTCTCCGACCTCCTTCACCCCCTACCACCCTGTTCACTCCCTCCATTCAGAGGGCTCTAGCCTGCTTCACGTCCCCCGCATTGCTCACCCCACTATCGGCAGGTGGGCCTTCTGCCACTCTGCACTCACCCTCGGGAACTCCATCTTGCAGTCCCTCCATCTCGCCCCTTCCCTTGCCACCTTCAAGACCCACCTCAAGACCCTCCTCTTCGACCGTGCTTTCGATCTCCCTGTCCTCCCCCACCCCGACCCTCAGCTCGGGTCCGAAACTCGGTCCGAAACGCCTTGGGACGTCCTCCCGACGTGAAAGGTGCTATATAACTAATTTTGTTGTTGTTGGTTCAAAACATATTGAAATTGAGAAAAGGATACCAAACAGTCACAAAAGAGCTTTCAATAATACTGAAATGCCCGGGTGAAACTTATTTCAACAACATGTTGCACATATATAACATATTTCTCATAGAGAAATAATTAAATCAGAAACAAACCCTTTTACATATTGCAGATGTCTTCCAAAGCTTCACCTTGCAGTTAGTTGAATAATTTGAACTGAAATGTGCAACAGCTCATTTTGTTAAATGTGATTAATATTCCAATAATGATGTTTATAAGATCTCTTCTACAGTTGCCAGTGAATTTAATTTTACTCAAGAGTGTAATCATTTGATGCTTAAAAACTGCCAAGAATGGCTAAAGTAGTTAAGGACCACATCAGAGTAGAAGGCAAGTAAACATTTAAAATTCAATAGGTATCACCAAGCTATTGTAAAGGAACAAACAATAATTGCATTGGAAGATAATGAGCTTCAAGGGATTGCAAGAGATATTACATCCACAAGGGTTTATTGGAGTTGATTCAGCTGTGAAAAAGAAATAACTCGAGAACAATATTTTCAAATAGTTACATCCCATATCTTCCACGAATTAAAACCGAAAAAGCCATTATTATTGTAAAGTTCCTTCTGGTTTTTCTGTTGCATCCATATTTCATGATTTTTAAAAAAAATAAGGTAACTTGGGCAAAGTAATAGGAAAGTTTGAAAAGTGTCTA